TAGCGCTTCAACTGTGGAAGACCCAAATTTTCATCGAAAGATCATCTTCAGCGATGAAGCTCATTTCTGGCTGAATGGCTTCATTAATAAGCATGGCCGGCACTGGGCTTCATTGAGCGTACTTCTTCCATGATTATCACGACCAGCACATTACTTCCAATAGGAATCGCTACCGCTCATTGATAACCGAATATTTTTGGCCCGAATTGGACGATATGGAGTTGAACAATATGTGGTTTCAACAGAACTGCATCACAAGCCACACAGCAAATGTCACAATCGATTTATTGAAGCCAAGTTAGGTGAACGTGTTATTTCACGAAATGGGCCAGTCAATTGACGACGTTAGACTATTTCCTGTGGGGCTGGGTCAAATCAATGGTCCACGCTAACAAGCCAGCGAGGATTGATGAACTTCGTACGAATATTGAACGTGAATTTGTAGCAGTATTATGCTAGAAAACCTGCAAGCGTGCCCGTGGTGGCCATGTAAAAGAAATCGAGTTCCATAAATAATGGCATCAAATGTTCTTTCACAGGAATAAAGTATTTCATTGATGTCCTGAAACCGTTTTTGTTTTATTAAAAAAAATTCTTATTGCTCTTATCAAAAAAAAAACTCTATATTAAGGCGGAATGGGGCGAAGTCCGTTGTCACTTCTAGCTAATGAGCTTCCGAAATAACTTCAAAGGACAGCACAGAAACTGAAAGCCTACGCAGATGACATTGCTATACTAGAGACGGCGAAGTTCCTAGACACAATCAGTAACGTAATATTGCTTTGATGTGCTGGACCGCTGTCCGCAAAATCTCATACGGAAAACTACATATGTACCCATCAAGTAACTCAACCAATCGCTAGAATTGAAAGTAAAAAATATAATAACATAGTAAATTTTTATATTGGTTTTTGAAAAGCATTCCCGTCTGTGCAGAGTAATATATCATGGTGTATTGAATATAGATATCAAGCACTTTACTTTGGGTTCTTTTTTGGGAGCTATCCATCTAATATACATACCACACATATTAATAACAAATTTAAAAAATTTCTCGCTTGGTTCAATCATCATATTATGGCAGAATTAATGAGTTGGCATTTAAAGCGTTACCCGAAAACATAATCAGGATGATTGCCAAGCTTTTTAATGAAATGCTTAGACTTTGTCATTTTCCAACGCAATGGAAATGTGCTGAGGTTATTTTAATTATTTAGCCTTGAAACTTTGCTGCTAAAATCTTACTTTGCACTGCTTTCATCAAGTGAAAAGCCTAATACTGCTTCCAGAATTGCTATTGTTTCTTATACATATGTAAACAGATTCTAAATATATTGAAACTTCCAAACACAAAAAAAAAAAAACACAACATAAAAACAAAAAAAATGCCAGAAAATACTATGCCATACCGTTTGAAGAGTTGGTTTGAAAATTATTAATAAAATTGAGAAGTAATAAATGGTTGCAATGGGTCTCTTGTGGTTATTACTCATACCTTCATTATAACGTGTATTTTTGATATAATAATAACGTATTATTAAAAAATACTTCGGAAAAAGTTTTTAAAGTTAACAAAATAAATCCTGGCGCAGGCTTTGAAAACACTTTTTGATTTAATAGACCTTTAGCATTTTGCTAAATCCGCGCTGGAAGCTTAAAATATATATGCAAACATTTATGTACTTGAGACTACACTCCACGTAAGCTTTATCTAAAGTCGTTTTCTGTCATAATTTTCCCACGCGATTTTCCGTATAAAAAAAACATATCGCACATTTTACTCATGTGTCTGTTTTTCGGCGAAATTTATCGCTTTTCTTTTCCCTTTGCCCTGCACAACTTCAATAAATGTCTGGCAATTTTGCGTCTGTCTGATTTATTTTCGTGGCTGATTGAATACAACAACCGCACGAACGAACCCAACAAAAAGATGAGGCATGATGAATGCATAACACATGCATATATGTGTATGTATTTACTTTATGTATGTATGAGCAACACGTAACCGTAAGTAACCAACAACCAAATAATTGAGCAGGTAGGCAAAGTTAATTTAAAATTTCGCAACTGATATTTGGTGAGTCAAAGCCGATGGCTGCTCGATAAAACCAAATTGTATATTTCGCCTGGGCATATAAATATACACTTTACACTACATACATCGCTACGAAATGGTTGCATGTGTGATAGATAATCTCACATATAACACCTCCACTTGTCCTTCCTCTCTCGTTTACGCCACGCACGTGATTTCCCTGGTCGGCATTTAAGTTTAATTGAGTTTATTTTCGAACTTTATAGGAGTTGGCGGGATGTGTGCACTTGGCAACCTGCTGGGAAATTGAAATACTCAAGGAGTATGCGCTCTCTAAGAAGAAATTGTCATATACTTAAATTGAAGAAAAGTTAATAAGATAAATATATTTTACACATTCGAACGATTTGTAAAACAAGATTTTTCGATACCTCGCCTCCCTCATACAGGACTTACGATAATACAGCTGTATTTTTCATACAGGGAGCATTCCTTTATACACACTGCATCCTTTATACATCACGACATCTTCGAGGGAATATCCTACCATAATTTATAATCCCTTAGGAAAATTTCACAAAGTTGCCTAAAGATGATTTATTAAATGCAACAGTTTCAACAGCTCTGACCTGATCGTAAAATTAATGTGAAAACTGAATTAATAGCACATCATCATCCTCTGCTTCTTCTCTTTTTTACCACCCCTAGCTGAGTAATAAACCTTACCCAGACACAGTAAAAAATCACTTTAATGCACTTCCCTACGGGGCTTTCTCCGCTACTCGCATATGGATCGTAGTGCTTTAAAGCTCGCTCATTCAACCTGTTGCTCAATGGGTGTGTGAAATGCCATTATTTAACTTGACATATGTATCTTTGAAATTTACGACATGCGACTAATTTGTAGCTGTAATTTAATTGATTGCATCTTAATTTTCGAGATATGAATGTAATTTAGCAGTGTAATGCATACTTTTAGGCTCCAATTAAACGACTGATTTCATTCCAATGATTAAATTTATATGCCATATTTCTGCGCATAAACAAATTCATTAAGCACATTGCGGAAAGGGACGGTTAAGCTCGGATGTAGTCGAAAATTTTATACTCGCTCAACTTACAAGGGCCACATATTATTAACAGGAAAAACTGCTTTTCCTTATTAGCTAAAGCACTATCACCAATATATTATATAAAGGATAAAATAAACATGTGTTCTAATCATTAGCGTTTCATATACGTTTGTTCTTCTGAAGTACATAAAGTACATTCTGCGATTTTTGCGATGAGTTAAAATTAAAAGTTTCCGAGGTAATGGCGAGAAACGATTCTTTTACATATCGCTCAAGCAGCTCACGACTTTCCTTCTTAGACCAAGTATCCTCTAGGCAGCCAAAGAACCTCCGTTTGAAGGCGAGCTAAAGTGAGAAGGTGAGCCATCCCTATCCAGGATTGTGCGCTGGGTCTGGAACTGGCCACGTAAAAAAAGCTTCCAAATGAAACAACAGCTGGTTGATGTTCTGAGACGAGTGAGCGCAATTTCGATGTGGGAATCGTGGTGGGAGGGAGACTCCGTCGCAGAGCCACAATCCGCTTCAAAGCGAAGTTCTGCAACATATCGTTGATTTCCAACCACGCCTCAACAGAAAAGAAGGACGATGTGACCACAGATGCCTTCTATGAGCGCACCTATGAGAGCTGACAGATGTCGGTATCGTTCTTAGCGACTTTAACGCCAAAGTGGCTAAAAAAGGTATCGGCATTTCACGCTGCTTACGTACACTTGCAAACGAAACCATTGGTTTTCGGAAAATGAACAAGAACAGCTGGTATGGTGAGAAGTGCCGTGTCGCAGTAGCTAAGAATGTACCCGAAGACCGTGGAGATTCGATTCTGCCCCGATTGCAGCAACTCTGACCCATGTATGAAACGACCGCATCGCCTCACTTTGTGTGTTCTTGAAAAGTTCTAAGAATATCCGACGTTTTCGACCCAACTTTTGTTCATGTTCATGAGGTCCATTTCTGGCTCTATGGATATGTAAACAAGCAAAATTGTCATATTTGATACTAAGAGCAACTTAGAGAGACTCAAGAGCTACCATTTAATCTAGAAAAAGCAATGGTTTGGTGTAGTTTGTAAAGTCTAAAGTCTATGCGGACAAACCCGCTTTGGTTCAGGCCTTGGAGCAAAACATCACGCATGTCACTCGGCAGCTACCAGTCGAAATGCTTGAATAAGTCATCGAAAATTGGGCTCATCGTAGCAGCGGCCAACATTTGAAAGAGATAATCTTCAAAAAAGAAATGTCAAAGAATTTTCTTTTGAAAGATAACAAACATTAAACATTAAATTAAAAGTTTCTGTGTTTTCCATTTAGAAAAAAACTAAGGAACCTAGAAATGGATCAACCTTTATATGGGTTAAAGTATGATAATTACACTGATACTAAGTGAAAATACTATTTTAGGCAAAATTTGGTTGGGCATAAAAAAGTTGTGAAATCAGCACTTATACCCATATCTCCAATTATTGTATTCATATCCATTCTTAAAAATTTTGAGTGCGTACAGATTTCGGAGGTACCCGAACATAGGTCTTCCTTATTTCTGTAATTTTGCCTTTGGTGGCTGGTCTCTTACATTTTTCTTAACAAATGCGGGAATATAAAAGTTTTGCAACATCCTCTTTGTTGCACACTACTTGAAGCCATCTATTCATCTCCTCGTATTCATTTTGGAAATTTGAATTTCAGATTACATTATCACAATTTTTACACAGTTATCTTGAATAGCTCCTGCTTTGGCTATGTCAACACAATTTATATGCGGCAATTTGCATGAATAAAAAAATTCCTGTCAAACATTTACATATTTTAAAAGTATACAACAAAAACAAACCGTCTTTTTCTATCCTGTTGATAACATTGCTCTATATTTTCTGTCTTCTCTCGTCTCTTTTTCAGAACTCGTGGAGCACCAGGAGATATTGTAAACAGAGCAACGACACGTCAAAGGACGAGCAACAACAACGCACAGGTAAGCGATAATGAAGCTGTATGTATGTGTACAGTACATGTGTGCGCATCCAGTTAAGTTTAGATTTACACACGTTCTCGTTAACGGTTGCACGGTGAGTACATAACAACTTTAAACAGCTGCCAGCACCAATGATCTGTCGACTGGCTTCTGCACATTGCGGCATGTGCCAACACTTGCAGCACATTGTAGGAGCAGCTTATTGTGCCAATACAGACACTCAGCCACTCAATGTCACTCGCTGTTAATTAAATTCGGTCGTACTCATTGGAATAACAATGGCTGTTGTTGACATACACTCTCTCAAATGTCTGTATATGGTTGCATATGTTGTTGTATGTGGTATATTGGCCTTATCATGTCATTATCTGAAGTGCATAGCTGCGTATGCGCGTAGAAGATTAATTGGTGGCAAGCGACCCAAAAGCGATATGTTTGAGTTATGGCTCTATAACTAATTGTATTTTCTCGAATTGGCTATGCTCTTCTAAAGGAACCATGGAAATAGTTCGCGTCCATATATATATAGACAGACGGACCGACGAACATGACTAAATCGACTCTGCTCGTTTTGCTGATAGTTTATTCTCACTCAAAATAATTTTTTGATTTTTTCGTTGTTTTTGTCCGTAATAACCCCTTTTGAACATTCACTGCTTGGTCGTTTTTGATGTCAACCGACCGCCGAAATTAGCACCTCATCTCACTCATCAATCCACATTTTAGTATCGACTGCTCTTTCATAAGTGTAAAGGTCCTAGCCGGGTTAACTTCAGAAAGTTACCCTCGGCAGAAAGGCCAAGGAGCAACTCTATGCTTGACGGCCTACTAAAGTGTAGTACTGTATTATTATATGGTACACAGACGGCTCGACGATGTCAGATGGCATTGGTCAAACATTACAAGATTACGTAACAAACTGTCCTTACCTTTCTCTTTGTCTTTCCCGCTCTACAGCTGATTCCTGGAGATAGGATGGAAACTGAATTGCGATTATTATCCATACCATGAAGGGAAATGGATAGAAATAAGTACTGACCCCAACTCACAGGTATGCGCCAGACAAAGTTTCTAATATCTAGTTTCAACCTCACAAGGTTTATAAGCATAATCAAGGAACAACTCCCGGCTACCTGTGGCATTTTACACTGCGAACTGCAGGCTCAAGAAGTACCTGATTCCAGATTACACAGTTGCTTGCTAACAGAGCAACCGGGCCCTTGGATTTTTATAGCACCCAGTGAGATACTGGAACTTATGTATGATATACCATAAGCAGATCTATGTGTCATAATTCGTTGTGACAGCAGAAAGTTATCCCGCCAATGTTTTTCACAAGCCACATTATAATATCAATATTGCAGAAGCCTATCATGTTTTACTTGCCTGCGAATATACACTATACTGTAATAGGATATTGCTTTACAGAAAATTACTGAAGCTAGATATCGGACCATACAAACTGAATATATTATATATCGAGGTTCCCTACTTTTTTTAAAGAAAATGGTGAATGTTTATTATCATTCGAAAATACATTCTTTGGCATTTATTTTTTGAAGATTATCCAACATTTAGAGGCCACGCATACGTCTCAGATGGGCCATCCTTTAAGCCCAATTTTCGTTGACTCGTTCGAACATTTTGACTAGTAACTAGCGAATGATAAGCGTGATGTTTTATTCCAAGGCCTTAATCGTAGCGAGATTGTTTGCAAAGAAATAGTCTAACAATTTGATATCACACGATCTTGGTGGCCCCAAAATCACTTGCGAAGGTCGAGCAGCTTTGGTTTTTGCGCAAGCTGTATTTGTTACGGTTTAAATTTAAGATCTTGACGTAAAATGTTCATGTCGTTCCAGCTACGACTGCTTTTCGTGGTCTATTCCTTCGAATATTATCCAATAATGAATTCTGCGTGTCAAGATGAGTGATGGTGTTGGGAATAATACACGCAGTAGGCCGATTACATTGACCACAAGTTGAGTTGAAACACATTATTTACAAAACGTGAATTTTCGTAATAAAGCTGAACAATTTGTAAACGTTGTTCAGGCGTAGATCTTTCCATGATAAAATGCAAAACAATACGGGAAAAAAATAACATAAGAGCTTGACACGACTCACGCGTGATGTGTTAAAAAAGGCTATTGAAAAAGTACCTCTTGTTGAATCACTCGTTATAAATGATCAGCATGATCAACTGACCAATATCGCCATGTCCATCTGTCTATCCGTGTTTTATTTTATTTTATTTTTTTTTTTTATTTTATTTATTTATTTTTTTTTTGTTTTGTTTGATTTGGTTTCTAACTAAAACTTTGAATTACAGCCCGTTGAGGTTTTACTGACTTATAATTTTCCAATCCTGCACACGGTTCGCTACAATCAGTGTCACTGTAGAGCCTAAAACTAAGGAGAAAGTCTTCACACAAAGAGTAAAATAGTTGTCCAAACAATTTTAGAAAGACCCTCAACACATTGTATAATAAAGATGGCATACCAATTTTTCAAAGACATTGCCTAGCTCTGCACATATTCTGAATTGATATTATTAAAATTTTAATTCAAATTTATAAAATCCGATAAAGTAACTGTATATGTATGCTTTTATTTTATTAATATATTTGTAGATTTAATTACACAATGTAGTAAATAATTTTATCTTAATTGCGAAGTGTGCATAAAACTTTGGAATGACTAATTTTGGCATTCGACGTGGCAATCGCCAAGGGACATTTATTCCTGTGCAAGTCACTAATTTGTTGTTTTTGGTATTTACTTTTAATAAATAAAGAAATATATGTATGTATAGATGTATGAATCGAAGTGCAAGAAGCAACACGTTCAGAGATAGCACAATATTTATATGAATTTACAGATAAATTCCCTACACCGTTATCGTTGTCGTTTTACATTACCGATAAATTCCATACTATTAGACGGAGAAGTCAATTACGCTCAGATAGCACTGCGCATTACGGCAAATGTAAATTAATTTAAAGCACTTAACCACTAAAGGGATTACATAAATATACTTATTATAGGATGAATAGGAGAAAGGCACGCACAACCTCACAACTTATCCTCGAGGCTGTCGTAGTCGTAGCACTCGCTGCCAAGTTTCGATTTACGGCCATCGTCTTCTTCATCCTCGTCCTCCTCGTTGCGCATGGCCGCTTCGTTGACGCCATTTAACGATATCGTCGTAGACAAATCGCTATAGACAGGCTGTTGCTCCGCTTGCTGCTCATGTTGTTGCGGTGGCTGTGATTGTCCTTTCGCCTCCTCGCGGCGTTTTTCGTTTTCAATTAACTTTTCGAAATCCTTTGTCGGATCGTAAACTTCGAATTCCTCAAATTCGATATCATCGTATTTACGCTTCTCAAAGAGACTCTTGTCATTAGCTACATAATGGCGTACCACACTTTTGTCTAATAGCGCCGTTGTGTTTGTTGTTATAACGGTTGTTACACTGCTGCCGCGACTGCTGGCCACACTTGCGCGTCCGTGTGGCTCTGGTGTTTGTTGGTCTACGCGGTGTATTTCCACAGGTACCACAATCTGTGCTGGTCGTTGGTTGGAACGTGGAGCAAGTATAGGGGTTGTTGTTGCCTGTAAAGCTCTTTGGGGTTCCACTTGAGTGCTAAGAGTGTGTGGTATTTCATTTGAAGGACTGACATTTCCAATCCACGATTGCTGTTGCTTGGATTCGACATTTCTTAAATTAACTTTATCTGCGTATTCGCCATATTCCTCGCGAATACCGTTGAACGTGTCATTGTTATGACTTTTCAATGGCGTATTGGATTCTAAGAACCGTTTCGACACTGCCGGGTTTATTGATGAGATAGTTTGTTTAGCAAACTGTGATGGCTCGCTTTGCATGACCTTTCGATTAGAGTTTGTGGCGGTCTCCCCAACTGTTAGCGTTTGTTGTTGCTGCTGTTTTTGTGCCATTGTGTAAGCCAAATCGACATTCTTATTACGCCATACTTTCAGCGTGCCATCGCCACCATCAAGACCATCGTCTGCGGTAGACGCGTGGGGCTTACGCTGGTCAACTTGACTCAAACGTATATCCATTGCGGAGCTTTGATAAGTTTTTTCCTTATTCTCGTATGTGTAGTCGATGTCCTCACGTCTAATACTCACCGTCGGCGCTTCCAAAGTGTAAGTAGTCATAGGCACATTTATGTGATTATTTACTGTTACTTGCTTCACATCACCCACAACGTCAGTTGCTGTTTGAGCACAATCTAACAATCTTTTGGCTGGCGTCTGGTTGTTAATCGTCAGCGGCTCTTCGTTACGCTCTGCTTCACGTCTTGTCTTTCCACACTCAAACCTATGCACCATCTTTTTGACGACCTCTGTCTCGTCCGCACCCGTTTCGACGATTTCAACGCCTGTGCCGGCCAATTCTAGGCGACTGCTACAGCTGTTCGATTTGACAAGTTTGAATTTGATTCCTGAAAATGAGAAATGTCAAAACAATTTCAGCACCAGGAAGAGCACACATGCTAGACATGGTTCTATGCTTGCCACTCACCAAAGTGCGCCAATGAACTTTCTCTGTTACCGTCATCAGCTGCCGGTAGCGCCTCCTTTGTAGCGCCATTGTCCTTGTCATGGCTTTCATTACTTTGCTGTGGAAACTTTTGTGTTGTCGCCTGCTGGTCGGCAAAGTCCCTTGGCGGCTCGCAAGCGTTACTACTCTCAATTTGTCGCACACGTCGCCTGGTCAATGTCATTGTATTGGTATTCGCTGTATTTGCTGGTGTATTGTTATTGTAGTTATTGTTGTTATTGCCAGTTTGCATTGGATCCGGTGAAGTACTTTGCAATACACGTCCGCCATAATAGGTGATTGTGGAGCCGCATTCCCTTATCTTCTCGAGCACATCCTGGAAATGCAAAATGTTATGTGTGTGAAACTCATTTGTGAATTTGTTTTGTGCAGGTGAGAGGACAGTTCTTAAATTGTACTTTGGTTGCAA